TAATAAAATAAATACAGATTTCAGTGAAATTGGGCCCTAGCACTTATTTTTAAAGCCATGTTTCAAAAAGGTTATTGATAGGAGTTATGGATAATTTTTATCAAATGGCAAGAACAGACACTAGTAACAGCAATTTTTTGTGTTCTCAGACTGTCGCTTAATACTGATGTTTTTAAGATTAGCCCCTGAGAAGCTGCCTATTTACTTTTGGTACCTAATGAGGATTTAAGATATGAAGCCATCAACTGGGCCTTTTGTTATGACCATAGAAAATATTATAACCACCAGACAATGATTGTTTTTGAAGGAATGGGAGAAATGTTGTTATTATTATATATTATATCATAAGCATTGTGTAGCAAATATTTTAAAAATACAGACCTTAAAAGCACAAGTTTTAAGGAAATACATATTTTCTCATTAATAGTAATCATATAGTTATTTTTTGATTATATAATCATAATCATAAATTATTTTCACCAATTTCTAACTTATCAACTTCTTATAAGACAGCTAGGGTTTATAAATATTTATTAAAATGGTTTTTGGATTTAATGTAACTTGAAAATAAAAAAACCTTTCAGCTTTGGTGGGAATGTCAGGGCTCTAGGATTTGAAGGCAAAATGACCTCAGAAACCCTTACATGGCTTTTCTCATCTGCAGATTGTTTCTCAGTGTCAGGCGAAAGCATCTTTCTTCCATCCTGTTGGACTTGTCTTCCTTGTTCTTATGTTACTTCTCTGTTTTGCGCAGTAGAGATACTGTGTAATCATGACCCTTTCACAATTAGAAAAAACAGTCCTCAAGCACTTGTCTTTTTAATTTTTGAGCAAAATTTTCCTTCTGTGTTCTCTGATCAGACATTTGCCATTCTATACACATGGCTCTCTTTCTCCACATCTCTAACTTAAGGATGATCTCACTATCCAGTGGTTTGAAAGAAATTCTGTTTTGGATATGAGGTGTTTTAGGATGACAGTCCTTCAAAACTGATTTCCAAAAGAGCTCATAAGGCTTATGGTGTTTTAGACCAATGGTTAAGTAGCGTTGAAGATTCTGCCTGTTAGGTTTACAGTGATTTCATCTTATCTGTTCAATGGACTTGTATTAGCGGTATTTGCATGGAAGTTGGCTTATAAATCTTGACTGTGTGTGTTTTAAGAATGAAGACAGTAGTTCAACTCTAAGACGGGCGGCGTTTCAGAGGTAGAAGAAGGTCCACCTATGCCTCCTGTTTTCATTCTAACAAAAAATGGCTCCGCTATATAGACTTCTAGCTCATTTTAGGGAACTAGGAAACCTGTAATGCATGTATTGTTCAAAGAAGGTATGGATTGGAACTTCACATTTGAAGAGGAAAAAGATGGGTCAGCAGCAGTATTGGCTATATAATTTTGGGGCTGCAAAATGAAAATGCAGGGCCCCTTGTTCAAAAATTAATAATTTTAAGACAGTGACAGCAGAGCATTCAATCTAGCACAGGGCCCTTCTGAGCACGGGGCCCTGTGTGACTGCACAGGTCACACCCGGAAAGCCTGCCCTGGTCAGAAGTTGAGAGGGGAGTAAAAAGGAAAAGGGAGGATCTGTTTTCCCATGATGTTTCCCTCCTTCTGTCTATCCCACTCTTCCCTGTGTACTCATCAGATGTGACCATTCTCAAGGGGGCTCTATTGTTCCAGTTAGCTAAGACATTGCCACTTCAACTCTAGTCCATGGGGGAATGGGCATGAGAGGGAGGTCACATTCCCCCAGTGATGGGGTGGGGGTAGGGGGTTGAAGGTCTTCTGAACTGTCCTAAGAAGAGAGCATGAAGTTGGGAACTCTACAACTTTCCAGCAGTGTATTAAAGTTACTTAACCTCTCTGAACCTAATTTGTCATTGCTGTAAAATGGTGATATCTACCTTGCAGGGTTGTTGAATGGATTAGAGAGAATGTGGAAAATACCTAGCACAGTGGCTGGTATGCAATGGGAGCTCATATATATTGGATATATGGTCATTTTTTTGTGAGTGAGGAGATGTACTGAAGATGGGTGAAAGGGCCTTGAGTCTCAGATAGGGTGGTGGATCTCAAAATGCTTGGAGAGCCTTGTAAGAGCTGGCTGCCTCTCTGCATCCATCCTTACTTCCCAAGTGCTTTGAAAGGGTTTAAAACTCAGAATTGCATCTTCTTCCCAAACAGGGTAAGCAACAATCTGTGGGAAGTCAGTGCACAGTAGAGTTCAGTCTCTAACACTGAAAATTTGCCAACTTTCACCCACACTGCGGAGATGAGAAAGCAGCTGTGGGCAGACAGCAGAGAAGAGCCCATGGTCACTGGGATACATTACACTTACAGATGGTCCATTGTTCACCCTGAGATGTTGTAGTTTGTCTATTTTATCCAGTTATGTTTCCATGACATACAAAGGATACAGCCAAAACTATTTCATGTAGTTTTTCCACTTTGTTTTGATTTATTATTTGTTGTTTACAGTATTATCTCCAGTAACAACAATGGAATTTCCTTCCCTACTAATCTGGCCTGTTTCCATTTTGCCTGTTTATTTTAATTTCCTTTTTTTTGGACTGAAACCTTTACATGACTCTCCTTTGTTTATTTCCTTGCCTGTGTGTGTCAGCATCATTTATTAGCACATCCACTCAGAACTTTGAACATGAATTATAAAGGGTCTGTTTCCTGGTTGCTAGTGGGAGTGTCTGAAGTGCTTCATGTCTCTAAGTACTGCACAATGGCTGGGTTAGCAGCTGGCTCATCGCTGCTCTCTGAAGCAGATGGCTTGCCCTCCATGGCGTACAGATGGAGCATGTGAGGCAGAGAAGTAACTCTGCTGCGGAAGGTGCTTTTCTCAAATCCTCTAACCCATCACTCCTGCCTGGCTCATCAATGCGGATTTCCATTTACTTTTTTTTTTTTTAAGATTTTATTTTTTTTCCTTTTTCTCCCCAAAGCCCCCCTGGTACACAGTATATTCTTCATTGTGAGTCCTTCTAGTTGTGGCATTTGGGACGCTGCCTCAGCGTGGTTTGATGAGCAGTGCCATGTCCGCGCCCAGGATTTGAACCAACGAAACACTGGGCCGCCTGCAGCGGAAAGCGCGAACTTAACCACTCCGCCACGGGGCCAGCCCCTCCACTTACTTTTATTTGGGCAGTAGGTTGTGTGAGCATAAGACCTGCTTTTTTGCAGAAATGCTCAATTCCTTGAAGACATTTCCATGACAACTAGTCTGTTGTTAACTATTGAGTAATTGCAGCTTGTAATATTAGCTGCTTGGGGTGCATGATAAATGTTAGACTTGGTCCTTTTTTATGAAGAACTTACAGCCCACTAAGTCAATAAAAAGGTTAAAGAGGGGCTGGCCCGGTGGCGCAGTGGTTAAGTGCGCATGTTCCGCTTTGGCGGCCTGGGGTTCACCAGTTCGGATCCTGGGTGTGGACAACGCACCACGTGGCAAGCCATGCTGTGGTAGGCGTCCACATATAAAGTAGAGGAAGATGGGCACAGCTGTTAGCTCAGCGCCAGTCTTCCTCAGAAAAAAAGAGGAGGATTGGCAGATGTTAGCTCAGGGCTAATCTTCCTCGAGAAAACAAAACAAAACAAAAACAAACAAACAAAAAGTTAAAGAGAAGAGGGAAGTTGACTTTTACACCTGTTGCTTGAATATTAATTAGATCTACTGCCTCATTTTCACTTGAGTCTCATGATTTACTGAATTAACTAATTCATCAAACATTTATTTAGTTCTTACTCTGTACATGGCACCATCTCTAGTGTCAAGATGCTTAAAAGACCAGAAAGTGGAAATAGATTTGAAAGCAAATAAATATAATAAAGTGTTACAGGTGACATGATAGAAATCTGTGCAGAGTATATACAGAGAGTAACAAAGGAGGAGGGGTCCTTATTCTCTTGGAGTTGGGGGTGGAGGGGACGTGTCAGAAACAAAGCCTAAAGGTCTTGGATATATTTGAGATCCATGGGTACTTTCCAATGTCTCAAACAGAGTGGCTGAGGATGCAGCCAGGCCTGGTGGGGGAGGGAGATGGAGGAAGCCAAGCACAAAGGGCCTTGGATGCTATATTAAGGAGTTAGGATTTTATTCTCTAGGAAAATTTTCAGGTAGGTGAAACATCATTATCAGATTCGGTTTTTATAAAAATTGCCCTGAGAAGGATAGATTCAGGGGACTTGAATGGAGGCAAGGAGATTCCTTAGGAGAGGACGGTGCTGAGCAGCCCTGACGTGATTCTGAACAAGCCAGTGGCAGATGGAAAGATGTTGAGGAAGTAGACTTTATAAAATTGGTATCAATTTTTAAATATTGTCTTTACAGCAACTGCCAGTGAAACCAAGGCTCAATAAATATCAAAGAGAATCTTCCTCTGTGCTTCCATTGCAGTCAGAGACATGATTGCTGTGGCATTTCGCACACTATGCGCTAATACGCTGTATTGCGATGACTTGTTTACAACCTTTTCTGCCCTGAGACGCTAAGCTTCTTAAGGTTAAGTACCAAACTACAGAATTATTTGCATATGCCTAGCATGGAGCCTCGTCTAAACAAGTGCTCAGTAGATGTTTGAAGAGTAAAGCTCCTAACACCGTGGCCAGTGCTTCTTCCACACGGACTACGTGGCACGGAAATATGAAAACGCCGCTCAGGCTTGTCTTACATCTGCCATTTCCATCTCTCCTGCTGAGGGGGTCAGGGCAAAGTGACAAGCAGCTATAACAGGCAGATGATGCTTTTTACTTTGCTTTAAAATTTATATCACTTTGTCCATTCTCAAAATGTGTCCCTGCCTCCAGAAGCCTGCATTAAAATACCAATAATAAATATTTAAAATATAGAAAGTAGCCATAAAAGTTGATGCTTATTGTGATAGTCTTTAGTGGTCTCGTTATCCACAAATCAAGCCTGATAATTTACTTTCATATTTCTTTTTATGTTACTTAATCTTTTAACCTGGATCACACTTTATTCTTCCACACAGATCCGTAATGCCTTCTGCCTGGCTCTTTCAAGATGGAGGGGAAACCTGTGGGAGAGCCTACTCAAGTGGTGTCTAAAGTCAAACTTTCCAGCAAGGTAGAAAGCACAGGACACTGGCTGGTGGAAGATCATGCTCGAATATGGGAAGTGTTAAAGACAGACGAGGTAAGACTAGTCCAAATGACACAGTTGGTGCAATGATGGATTTCCTTAGACTTGAGATTATAATTCTTAGTGTGGCCAGCACCACAGGCCAGCTTGGCAAATTTTTATTCAGGGGCCATAGGCACAACCACGACTGGAGAACATTAAGTCAGGGGTGTATCTCTTAGGCATTAATAACTCCACAGTGATTCAGCCAAAGGAGGTAGCACTGACTTAGGGCCTAAAATGTACAAGTAGGTATCCTCCTTGTAGAATCCTACCAAACCTAAATGGGAAATCAAGTCATGGTGAGAAAGTTGATTCCTAAGGATCAGTCATAACAAGTGGAATCATATAAATTCATTGTTTGACAGCATGAGGCTGTCAGGGCTCCTTGGTTGCAAGCAACAGAAATTGACTCTAAGGAAAATGGGAAATTGTTGGAGGATATTGGGAAGCTCACAGAATTGATGAGAAGTTTGGAAAACTAGGACAGGAACCAAGTCAGCAGGAACTGCTCAGGGCACTGCCCCTGGTATAAATTCCAAACTGGTCCCCACCCTCTCCTTATTCTCACGTTTCTCTGCTCAAGATGCAAAGCCAGGGGAGAGGGAGCTCACTGCCAAGGTTAGTCACATGTCTTTCTCTAGGTTATTCTTTAAAGAGAAAAAGAATCTCCCATGAGAAATCATTATACCAAGTCCTCACAGCACTTGTGTTTGGAGTCCAAATCTCTAATATCCACATGTGGTGACAATACCAATTCAAGAAAGTAACATAACAACTACCATCTTAAATGTGAAATCCAGCCAAAGCAAATGTGAACTCTCTCTGTAGGGGATACTTGCACACAGGAATAAAACTCCACAGAGAGCAGCTGAAGTCTCTGTGTATCCCACCTAACAGGGCCAAGACTAGGGACAGATAAGTGAGTTGCTGAGGGCACAAAGTTTAAGGAAGCACTCATTCTTAGGTTTGTGTCCTGCGCTTGCACAAACTTAAAGGTTAAGGCATCCTTATATTTTGCACTTTAGGCGTCTTGCAATTTGGACTGGCCTCACCCTAGTCCTGGCCCTGCCACCTGATTTTATTCCCCTCCCTCCTTCCCCAAAGGTAGTCACTATCCCGAATCTGGCATTTGTCATTCTTATGCATATGCTGATACACACACACACACACACACACACATATATATATATGTTATCCACATATCCAAGTAGTACTGATTTTCATCTTTTAAATTTTATATAAGCTTTGTATGGTCTATGTACTTTTACAGCTTGCTGTTTTTTACTTAAATTTTGCTTCTATTTTATCTTATTTTCTCTTCTGATACTTGTAGTTCTAGTTTATTCATTTTAACTGCTTTTTATATTCTGTTGATTAATAGAGTGAAATTTATTTATCCATTTCTTTTGTTGGTTAACTTTTAGTTTCTTTCAGTACAAGGCAATGTAATACACTTTACACTGTATTACTCATTTTAATGTAATACACATTTTCACCTAGATGTGGCATACTGGATTATAAAGTATGAAAGCCTTCAGTTTTACTAGTTATTACCAAATTGGTCTCCAAGATGAGGATGTGAGTTTATATCCCCACTAGCAGCATGTGAGGATTCTCCCTGCTCTACCAGTTGTTGATGTTGTCAGTTCTTTAAGTATTGGCTAATCTGATTGTTTTGAAATGGAGCCTTGTTGTTTTAACATGAATTTTTCCATATGGATAATCAATTATCCTAGTACCATTTTAGAATGTCCATCATTTCTTCTTTAGTTTGTAATGCTGTCTCTCATGTATCATGCTTCTGATATACTCTCTCTGCTAATGTGATACTCCCTCAACTATTCTAGATTTAAAGGAAACTTGGACATCTGATAGAGCATGTCCCTCCACTGAGTTATTGCTCTTCAAAATTGTGCTGGGTGTTTTTGGAACTTAGATTTTCAATATGAATTTAGGATGAGCTTGTTAAGTTTTGCAGATATGAAGAAAACTCAGTCTGCTGGGAATCTGATCGGGATTGCAGTATGTTTGTTGATTGATTTGGGGAATATCAACATCTTTATGATAGTCAGTAAATATCTTATCTTATTCTTGACTTTAAGTGGCATGCCTCAATATTTCACCAATATTTTATCCTATACCCTTTTGCTGTAAGATTTTCATAGGTTTCAAGGTTAAGGAAATTCCTTCCATTCCTTTTCTTTTTTTTCTAAATGTTAGTTTCTTTACATTATAATATTTGATCCCTACAAAATAATATACGTGTAAGTTATAGAGTATAATATTAAAACAAACACTTGTGAGTTCGCAACCAACTTAAGAACTAGAACTTGACCAATTGTTGAATCCGTGTATGGATTCTGCCACATCCTATCCCCTTGATTCTTTTCCCCACAAGGGTAACTGTTTTCTTGAAATCTGTGTTTAATCATTCTTTGGATTTTTGAAAGTTTTTATTGCACATATATGTATCCCCCCAAATATTGTTTAGTTACATAAACTATGTATATGGTGTTACACATATGATATATATCTGATTTCTTTTATGACTGACTTCTTTCACTCAACATGTTTCTAAGATTTTTAAGGTTCAGTGACTAATTAATACATATAGTAATAATTCATTAATTTTCACTGTTGACTAATATGCCATTATGTGGTTATACCATAATTTGTTTATTTACAGATATGTTGATGGATATTTCAATTATTTGCTGTTGTTTGCCATTATGAACAATGCTACTATGAACATACTTCTACATGTCTTATCCCCCTGTGTAAGAGTGCCTCGTGTATAAGGGTTTTTATAGGTTAATAATTATTAGGTGAAATTTTTGAGTTGGGTATGTACAAGTTCTGTTTTGCAAGTTATTGCCATATTGTTTTCCAAAGTGGTATCAATTTACACTCCCACCAGCAGGGCATAAAGTTTCCCCTATTCCATGTCCTTGTCAACTTTTGGAATTGTCGGATTTCTTAATTTTTCCAACCTGGTTGGTATAAAATAGGATATCATTCTTTATGCATCTCAACTCCATCTCAGATGATTTTTCTTTTTCCTTTAGGGTTTACTTTTCTGAGGGTCTAACTGAAGCAAAAATCTTCCTATTTTTTTGTCTGAAGCTGCCTTCATTTTGAGTCTACTCTTAGAATGATAGTTTAGGTGGGTATAGAATTCTAGGTTACCTTCTTTCAGTACATTCAAAATATTTCATTGTCCTATGCCTTCCATTGTTTCTGTCATAAACTAGCTGAAAGTGCTTTTTTTTTTTTGAGGAAGACAGGCCCTGAGCTAACATCTACTGCCAATCTTCCTCTTTTTGCTTGAGGAAGATTGTCACTGAGCTAACATCTGTGCCAATCTTCCTCTGTCTTGTATGTGGGACACCATCACAGCACAGCTTGACAAGCAGTGCCAGGTCCATGCCTGGGATCCAAACCTGTGAACCCCAGGAGGCTGAAGCGGCGCATGCAAACCCAACCACTATGCCACTGGGCTGGCCCCCCAAAAGTCTAATTTTTATTCCTTTGAATATAATATCTCTTTTCTCTAATTACTTAGATCTTCTCTACATTTTTGCTGTTTTGCGGTTTCGCTCTTCTGTGTTTAGGTGTGGGTTTCTTTTTATTTAACCTCTTGGAATTCATGGGGCTTCATAAGTATGTGGATTGGTGGATATGTGGATCAGCCTGCAAACATCTCTGTAATTTTCTTTTCAAATAATTGCTTTTACTTCCTTTTCTTTTTATAACTCCAACAAGGTTTACGTTCATTTTTCTCACTCTTTGCTCATGTCCCTTAACTTCTCTTTCAGAGTTACTATCTTTTTTCTGCTCTCGGTGTTGTATTCTGATTAATTTAGATCTATCTTCCAATTCACTAATTCTCTCTTCAGTTACTTTTTATTGAAACAAAAACTGGTTAATAATTGGAGGAGATCAGAATCTGCCCTTTAACTCAACTATTGAGTTTTAAATTTCAGTTACTCTATTTTTCACTTCTAGAAGTTCTGTTTTGTTCTTTTAAAATCTTCTAGTCATTTTTTTAGTCTCTTGCTTCCTATTCATATTTTTATTTTTTTAAGTCTATTTGTCAAGAACTGTGAAGGGTATGAGATTTTACATTATTTGCAAGTTAGCTTGCCACAGTTGTGTAAATGCTGAAAGAAGTCATGAGACTCTTGTTTCAGAGACAAGACTTTATTACTTATAGAACAAGTTGTAACCAGAGTGCCAGCATGTTTGTTTGGTTCCCTATGCCCCAATTCCAACAGGAGTGACACAGATGGGCCTAGATAGCTCCCTGCACAGGAGAGAATCACTGACCTTGGAAACTTGCCAGTTTATAGTAGACTTAAGCAAGCCTGTACTTTCTCCCAGTGGGAGACGTTACCTTGTCCTTTAAGGTTACTTGCTGCAGACACAGGCCTGAAAAAACAGTCTGGGTAAAGATCAGCCAGGGCCAAAGATTTTTTGGCACAAAAAGCAAGCCATGCAGGAACAAGAGAGACTCATGGAGGAGTGTTTCTCAACAATATTAAATATAATGGTTTTATATTCTGAGTTGGCAATTCTAATAGCTGTTCTTATTCTACCATCTTATTCTACTCTCTGTTCTTTCTGTTGGTTCTTGCACATGGTATTTTGTTTCCTTGTTAGTTTTGTGATTTTTGACTGTGGGTTCATTTTTCTTGGAATGAAAGGACTTTTCTCCAGAGAGAATTTACATTTACTTCTGGAAGCACTACCAGCTGGAAGTCACTTCAAAGTAAATTCTTAGCTTGAGGTTTTTTTTTTCAGACCACTCAATGTGAATATAGGCTGGAAACTGATGGATGGGTATACTTGTAGTAATTAATTATGAGGGGAAATGACTCACCTCTCCCTGCCCCTATTCAGCACCATATTTCAAGATAAGCAACTTTCCTTGTGTTGTCATGGAGGGCATTTCATTCCTGGTTCACCTTAAGGCTGAGGGAATAACATTTTGGGGTTCCAGTTTTACACAGTGG